CCCCAAAACCCCAAAACCCCAAAACCCCATAAGTATGTATTTTGATCCGAATAGAGAATACAATTATTAAAGTAATAAATATTGATTTCTACATAGTAATAATTTATTAAAGATCAATGGATAATAAGCTGCTGCAACTTAGGAGTTAGTTACGATCTATCGAAGACTTCACTGATTATTATGATAAAGCATTGATTGAAAATCACCCAGGCCTTGATTTTGAATCAGATCTTGGATAAAAATTAAGAATTAACAAGTATATCACCTTCATGCTTATCTAAGTCTTTTTGCTATTAACGTCAATATCAAATCCTCTGATAAGCAGCAGTTTATGGAAAATGATGCTAATTGATCTTGCCACAGTTTTATCCATATTTTATTTGTTTTGTGTAATTTGGAAAACAATATTCCTAATTCAAGCATATTCTGATAAATACGTGATCTATGCCCTTATCTCCGCAAGAGTAATTTACATTTTTTAATTTAAGTTTAGATCATTATATCTTTCATCTTTGTCGGAGATATATCATTCGTATTATTTTAGATAATAACGTTGCTTTTATTCTTTCCGGGACTCTTCGCAACACTAAATGATAAAAATAATAGGATAATGCTTTAGATATCTTTGAGCATACTAGTATTAGTTGTTATATGTTCCATTTTTAGAACCTAGTTCTATGAATACACTCTTGACAATATACTGATTTTTCACTGGTAATAATATTCTCTTTAATCATTACAGTTAAATGGAAATGATTTGTACTCTAATTTTATTTTTTGGATTTAATATGTCAACTCTCCCTGCAATGTTAAATGAAATTGTCAAATCCCGACAGAGAAATTCTGAGTTAATGAAAGTTATTGAAGAGAATGAGATCCATTCGGCATCTTTAGTCCATGAGCTTCGAAATCCTTTAAATTCGTAAATTAGTCCTTTTAATAAAATAGGTTAATGGGCACTATTACCCTTCTGGAAAAATCAAGTGGGATGAAAAATTATTAAACATAAGAAATATTTAGCATGGCTAAGTCCTGTGGTGATCATTTGCATACACTAATTAGCAATTTGCTAGAATATTCAAAGTTGAAAGCGAAAAAGGTAGAAATAAATAAGACTGCTTTCGACCTGAAAAATATAATAAAACGAATCCTTAAAATGAACTACCTAAAATCCTAGGAAAAATAAAATAAAATATGCTACTACATTTCTCATAATTTTCCCAAAAAAGTTGTAACTGATGAATAGAGGATAAATTAAATACTGATTAATTTGGTTTCTAATGCTCTCAAATTCACTGATAAAGGATCTGTTAGTGTGTACCTAGGTTGGCGACCTGGATAATAAAAAGTCGAGACATAGGAGTATTAAGAATCTTTAAAGTCTTAGCCTCTCCAATATATTGAATAAAGACATTTATTTAAAGCTTTCACTGAATATGAGGATGAAACACCCCTTAACCACTATAATTCTAATGATTCTTTATCTGAATAACCCTTTTAATTTGGTCAAAATAATCAAAATTTTCAAGGACCAGGATATAATACTCATCTTAGGTGGCTTTAAGAGAATGATCTTGAAAGAGCACATTCATAGTTTGAATTCGATAATGAATCAGCCAGGAATTATATTAGATCAAATTCTGATCAAAGAGTTACTTAGTAAAATCAAAGCCAATTTAATTTCTAAGGTATGTCTAATGATGACAGTTTTAAAAATGTAAAGAGTGAGAAAAATGTTATATCTAATCCTTATCAGATTCAAATTAATCAATCTTCTAAATCGATTCAATAAGTTATTACGCCTGATTAAAATTTCTTAAATACAACCTAGCATATTGGTCCCGAATATATTGAGGAAAAAAAATCATTAAGCTCTGGGGGAAATAATAACTTTATCAAAGAGGTAGATGCATATCTTCTTGGTGATTAGGAAGAATTCTATTCGGACGATTAGAACTCAATCAGAGATGAAAGAAGACAAGAGACATAAATGGAAAATATCAGAGTTAAGGGAGAACTTAATTTAAAAAATCTAAACTTAGAAGATAGTGAGAACTTAGATTAGCTGAAAGGTAATAATGTGGAATACGGAACACCAAGAGATGTGGACAAGATAACTGAAAAGTAGAGATAGATCATAGATATAGTGGTTTAAAATCATAAAAGAGCCTCTGCTTTGGTTGAAGTTAACTAAATAAACGATAATATTGAAGACATTTTCCCTGATTCCAATAGAGAGGATTCTAACAGACTTGAATAAACACTAAATTCCTTTAAAGAAGTTTTCGATAAAAATGAATTCACTCTTAAGTTCATTCATGCTAACAGTATTGATGATAATTCTTTCAACCAAGATGAACAGAAAGAATACATCTAGTTAATTAAAGATAATAAATTGGATGATAACTAAATTCTAGAGAAGTCTATATTGCAGTACAAGAAACATAAATAATCACCGCCCAAAAAGAAAAGTTCTAATTCCATCAATTTCAATAAGGTATTCCCCGCCTAAATTCAGAAAATGCAGTCAGATGAGCCTTTGATGAATACTTCTTTTAAGCAGGAGAAAAGTGAATCTAGCATCGAAGATCCATAGAACAATAGTCAAAAATCTCCAAATGATGATTCAGTTTTATTGCATTATAAGTAACTAAGACAGGCAGAGGATTAAAGAATGATAGAAATAGATGGCATACTTGAGTTTAATAAAAATCATTAGTTAGATATGGAGGAGATGAAGAGAGGGAGGATATCTTCTTTACACTCAAAGAAATTGAGTATGATGGATCATTCTCAATTCTAAGATTAACATCTAATTGATACAATACTTCAAAAATAAGATAAAAACGATGATATCCTAGAAATTAGTATTAGTAGTGGAAAAAGTAAATCCAATCCTTAGGAAGTTACCAAGAAAAATTAGTTCACTCCGTTCCTAGGTCCTAAAGAATCCATTAGTAAATCTGGTCTTCAAATGGAAATGCCTACTATAAACTCCGCTCAGCAATTACTACCAACATTAAATAACTCAGACAAAAGCCAAGATGAACCATCAAAAAAGAGACAAAAATCTAAAAAAATTAACATTAGAATAGTTGGTCTAGATTCTCAAGAGGATCTTCATAAGAACCCTCTATAAGCCATTTAAGAAAAACAGCAATAAATTATTCAAGAGTAGTAATAGTTACAGTAACAATAGATTTAAGCGCAGGATTTAATATCAGCACCCTCAGAGAATTAATAATAGCCACAAAAGCACTAAGATTTATAGCAATCTTAGTCTAAAGATCATCTTGAAAATGAAATTTAAAACAATTACTTTGGCAATGGCAAGTTTAATCTCTTTTCTGTGGTACAATACTAACCTGATTCACAGTGGATGACATCATAATAACACTAAAATAATCTACTTTAATAATAAAACTAGAAAAAGGTTTAAAAATGGGAGATACAAGTACAACCAATTCATGTCATTGCGTAGTAATTGCAAAACTAAAAGTAAAATCAAATTCAAAATTAGCTCTTTTAAAAGCTATAAAATCAATAGATTATAGAAGAATATTCGATAGAAAATTAGAATAACACTATTAAGACAACGAAGACCCAAGATGAAGAAGAAAAAGAGCTGGAAATGTTAAGATAGCTATCATAGTCCAATGGTATAAAAAGTCAATCATCAGTACATACTCTCAATAATGATACAAACTATCAGCTTAATTTTGTTTTCGGATAAGGAAGAAGAAAATCTTTAATAAGGGGACAAAACTCTTTCAAAGTGCCAGTTTAAAATTAAGCTGAGCTCCCTCCTACAAGAAAGAAGAAGACAGTACTAAAGATAGGGTCTCTTGAAGATAATAGCATGATTAGTACTCATTAAGAGCCCGCTTAAATTCAGCAAAACTAATAGCATTAGTAATAATTTTATTCTCAGGCATCTCATGTCAATATGAGTAAATCAGCCCCTACTAGTGTGCTTCAGATAATAAACTAAAATCTCGTTCAATAATAAAGTTCTTAAATTGATGATGCTCCTGAAAGAAGCAATACTGTTTGTCCTTAGTCCTAAAAAAATCTAGCCCTGAATCTATTCAGGTTTAGCACTTTGGCCTTCACCAACAATGCAACCTCTCAAAGTGTAGGAAACGAGATTACTACTAATACTAATATCAACTATAATTATCACGAAAAGGGTGTAGTAGAAATCAAAGTCCGTGACTCTGGAATAGGCATTTCTGAAAATGGACTAAAGAAACTATTTCAGCCTTACATGCAAGCCGATAAGGTATGGGGTTAATACGGAGGAACAGGTCTTGGACTTTGCATTTGCTCTGAGTTAGTTTAAATGCTTAATGGTAAAATTGAGGTCAAGAGCACAATAGGTTAAGGGACAGAATTCATAGTAAGTATTCCTATTGAAGTTTCTGCTGACTTGACAAACTTTATCGATGATAATGAATTTGAAAAAGAGATAAATGAAATTGATCTAAGTACTTACGAGTTCATAGTATGCAATAACGAGAAAAGTTTTGGTATAAACCAAATGAAGAAAATTTTTGCTAAGAAACAATGCAATATTCACTATAAAGATCCAAAGGAATTGATGAGAATGAATAATAACTAAGATTTCAATTTCAAAACCTTATTCTAGCATGAAAAGACTTACAAAGCTTTCATTATTGATTATAATTCTGTTAGGTAAATGCAGCCCAACTTGCTTTAATTCTTATCAAATCAAAATGACACACTTAAGATTGATAATGCTCTGCTAAACTCTACTAATAATTTGAATACTTGTAATGATGAAAGTAGCATAATTCATATTCAGATTAAGGTCCCAGTCATCGTTTTGATAAGTGGCTTTATGGATGAGTCGAAAGTCAAGAAATCTGATAATGTTTTTGTGATAGTAGTACCTTTTGATGCTAGACAAGTGAAAAGAATACTATTCTTCCTTAAGAGATACTATATGAGTTGCATCAATCAATACAGGCTTAAAAATTAATAAGGACTTGTCTCCAAAGTGAATTCAAAAGATGAAATTTCCAATAATGATCTGAGCAATAAGACTAATAATTAGAATGATCCGATAAATTCTGGCAGGTCAAACTAGCAGTCTTCTCAAATTGACGACTTTTGCTTTAATTCTAGTTTTTAGAAGCAGCAGCCACCTTAGAAATATCCAACTTAGCAACACATAAGCTAGGAAACCTCAATGTCTCAAATAAAATCTCAACTAGCCTAGCATTCTACCTTCACTGAATTGCAAAGAAACTAAAATAAAGATGCACATCTTAATCCTTAATAATTTATAAGAAGGTAAGGCTCTAGCCGATCCCAATTACTTGGCATGGACTAGTTTTAAAGTCCTATGAGTTTCAATGTTCCCAGGAAAACTATAAACATCAAGGGTTAGAGTTCACTTTTAAATCAGATCAGAGAGACAGACTAAGATATGGAGACTGTGATACTTTAACACCAACCAAACTCAGCTAATATGGCGGCTAGACTATATTAAGATTAAAACTTTGTGAGTAGTAATTCTAATTTGGAGTCTCAGGGATGGCCATTAGGTGACCTGTCACCAGAAATGTTTAGCAAGCAATTCCTTTTGAACTCAACTCGAAGTATTTAAAGCAGAGGTGGAGAATTTAAACTTAAGAGATCTACAGGAAACAAGAAATTATCAGATAAGATTCCAGCATTTGATAACGAGCAATATGCCCTGGTTGTTAATGACGACTAATTTTCCTTAAAGATCACATCAATGCTACTTGAGGTTAGTAAGAAAGAACAAGGAAAGCAATTTACTATATTGTAAGCACAGGATGGAAAAGAGGCAGTTGAGCTATATAAAACAGTGCCCTAGATAAAACTTATTCTCATGGATATAGAGATGAGAATCATGGACGGCTACGAAGCCACCAAGAGGATAAGAGAGTACGAAGATGAGATAAAGTGTGATAAAGAAGGTTGTAAGATGACGTACATAATAGGTGTAAGCGGGAACTCTACGTAGCAGCACTTCAGACAATGCCAAAACGTAGGAATGAATGAGGCTGTCATTATACCTATCAATAATAAAAAAATAGCAGACCTTATTAATAATTTATTTTGAACTCAATAAATCATAAGTTAGTTTAATTTAAGTCTAAATTTCATATAATTACCATTTATTAATTACATGAAATCTATTTATTTATTGGCTAGTGGGGTTTTGGGGTTTTGGGGTTTTGGGGTTTTG